AAAAAAAAAAAAAAAGGAAAAAGAAAAAGAAAGAAAAGAAGTAGAGCCTCCAGATGCAGACAGAAAACCTGGAATCTGGAACTTTGAAGAGGAAACCTGAAGCAGCAAACTTAGAATGTGGGGCTTCCAGAACATGGAACTCGGAGGCCGCCACCCTCAGTGGTCAGTGGGGAAACTGAGGTGTAGGAGGTGGGGAGTTCGTGAGCCTTGATGAGCAGCAGTGGGCACACAGGTGGCCCTGCTGAGCCGGGCAGGGGTGAGGACCCTCCCCACAGCCTGCTGGGTGCCTGACCTTGGGCATGTCCCCTCTCCAAGCCTCAGTTTCCTCACCTGTGAAGTGGGTTGTGAGGATGAGATGAGACAGTGCGCATCATTTGGGAGCTCAGGATCACCAGGAAGTCAGCGGCCTTGCTGAGACCCAGCTCCTGGCCATGCAACTTCCAGAGCTGCCCTCTCACCTTGTGATGGGGGTGGTTTTGTTGCTGTTTCCAGTCTCTCTCTTTCCCCAAAGTCGAGGTGCCTTTGAGCGCTTGCGCGCCTGTTTCTGGCACGACCAGGTGGGAAAGTTAGGTAGTGGATGGGTAGGAAGAGATGGGCGATGGTCTCACAGTGCTGGGCAGGGGGCCCAACGCCTACAGCCCTGAGTGGTATCCCCTGACCATAGGTGGGGCCTGCAAAGTGTCCCTGCTGGAGACGATCAGGTCCTAACACAAGAGCCACAGAGGAGTACGGCCTTTCCCTGCTGCAGGGTGGCTGCCACCTCGCGCTCACCACTGCCTGTAAATATCCTCCTAACACTAACAAGATGGTACCCCATTGCCTTGGGACCTTCATTGTCACCCTCAGGATTCAGAAAGGACGAGAACAGGTTGAATGAGGGGATGCATTCAGTGGGTCATGTTTACTGAATGCAGATGCTGTGGGGAGGAAGATGTGGCTGCCACTGTAAGAGCATCAGTACTGTCACCCGCCACCCCCCGAGAAATAATCCAAACCGTGAAGCAGAGATAGCCCCGCAGGTGGCTTAGTGCCTAGACAGTGACCTGGCTCGGGGCTGGCATGGACCAGGGCAGAATGCCCCGGGCAGGCAGAATTGGACAGAGAGTAACTGGGAGAGGAGAAGAGACAGGGTGTGTCCCAGCCGAGGGCAGGCTCCCTGGGCACGCAGATCCCAGCCAGCTATGTGCTTGCTCTGTCGGGACCACCCCAGCAGGAAGCTAATCGTGAGGCTCAGGTCCCCAGATCCCAGGGGCAGTGCTGCCACCGTGCCACCCAGGGGCTGCAGGCTGCAGGCAGGTGTGGCCTTGTCACCTCCCTTGGTCCCCACAGTGCCAGAACCATGTTCAAGCTCACTCCTTCGCCCAGCAGTGCACCTGCAGTGCCAGGCATGAGGCGGTGCACACACGGCCGCAAGGTAAGGTTCAGGCGCTGGCGGGGAGGATCCTAACTGCTGAGCCACTCTTCCTTTCCCACTGTCTCCCCATAACTCCTCCCAGCTGTGAAGGTGGGGCTCATTCCTGCACCTCCCCTCCGCCACCACACCCATTGGTAGGGGCCCTTAGGATTCACATAACTAAGCCGCCTCACTGGGGTGTGACAAGCCCAAGATGGCAAAGCAGGCAGTACTAGAACTGTGTGGGCACTTTCGTGAGCCCCAGACCAGGCCTGAGAGCCCTGAAGCATTGACTGGATGGTGTGGGTGTATGGATTTGGGGTGGTCATTTATTCATTCAACAAACTGAGGGTGAGCACCTCTTTTGTGTGGGCCTCAGGGCTTGAGGCTGAGGACTCAGGGGCGTTGGACACCACAGCCCTTGTGTGGGGTGAGGGGTTCTCGGGGGCAGGCCAGGGTCAGGGAGACCTGAAGGAGTGCAGCTCAGCCGAACCCTCCAGGGACAGGAACGGGGATTGGAGGGCGAGATTACACAGAAACTTCTGTGCCTCCTTGGGAGACTTGGACTTTCTCCTGAGGGCAGCCGTTCCAAGCTGGGAGGGGCAGCGTCAGATGTGGCTTTTGTTTGACTCATGGGGGCTGGGTCCGGGGCCTACTGAGGAATCGGCTGCCATTCTGGTGAGCAGTGGGCTCGGGGATGGAAGATTCAGGAAGTGTGGGCAGTGGGATGGGCAAGGCTCGGAGATGGGTGGGGAGGGGCCCAGAAGGGGTGCGTTGGGAATCCTGAAGTTGTCAGCGTCAGTCCCTTGGTGTCAGGCTTGAGTTACAAGTTACCAGTTCAGGTTGTTGGGACGGCCATTTGAGAGTTGCACCTTGTTTACCACAGAGGGTCTCAGGACAGAAAGCCAGGCCTGGTGTGGCCCAAAGCCCATGCCCACTGCCCTCCTTGCTGCCCAGCCTGGATTGCCCCCGCCGGGTCTGCACCTTGCTGTCCCTCACTCCACCTGGCACCCAGCCGCCTGAGCATGCAGGCGTGCCCACCACCTGCTGCCTTGTACACACGGGTGGGTGCCGGGGGAGCACCACCCACTCCCACTGCCTGCGACTCTTGGACTGGACCTCCACCTGCCACCCGGTGCATGGGGGCCTCTGCCAGCCAACAACCCCTCCTCTGCCACCCAGGGTACAACACCTGAGACAAAGTCCCCAATGCTAGAAAAGGCCCCAGAGGATGAGGAAGGGTGGGGCGTGCCCTCCCCTCCATTCCCCCTGCTTGGCCCGCCAGGCTAGAGATGGAGCTGAGGCTCTGCACTGAAGTGGGCCTTTGTATGTTGTCCCCAGAGGATGGCAAGCCTGGGTGGGAGGGGCTGGCACTGCCGGGGCTGCCGGGCAGGGTGGCGCTGATCTCAGCAGGGCAGGGGCTTTCTCTGAGGCCACTGGGCAGGGAGCGCACATGTCGGTCGTGAGAACTCTCAGGCTGGGCCTGCACCCCCAAACCAGAGGATACTTGTCCCTCTGAGTCTTTCGCCGTGTCTCATCCGGGCTCCTGCGTCTTTGGACTGTTCCATCGTCATCCAGCAGCTGTCTGTGCAGTGCCTGCTCCGGGGCAGGCCTTGTCCTGCGGGGTGGAGAATAGTGGTGACCAAGGCCTGTGGTGACCCTGCTCTCCTGTGGCCGAGCCAACGGGGTGAGGGCAGGGGAGACATAAACAATGAAGGGGGATCGCCTCCGCAGGGATGAGTGCTGCGAGGGACAGCCTGGAGAGAGGCCCTGGGGGCAGGGGCAGCACTTCAGCCAGCTGCTCAGGAGCACCTTGGCTGGTGGCATCAGAGTGAGCAGGGACCTGAGGAAGGGCGTTCCAGGCGGAGGAATCAGCTGGTGCGAGGACCCTGGAATGGGGCCACACCTGGGGAGTGCAGGAGACAGGAAGGTGGGAGTGTGGCTGGAGCCTGGGGGACAAGGGAGGAGAAGTCAGCAGAGGTGCAGGCGTCAGAAGGTCGGATGGGCAGGGCCCATGGCGTGCAGAGGAGTTGGGGTTTTATTATTAGTGTGATGGGGCCACGGGAGGGCTTGAGCAGAGAGATGTGGCCTAATGGGGAATTGGCGGTGCCCCTGGCTGCTGCAGAGGCAGGAGGGAAGCCAGTGAGGACCTGGGGCATCAGAGGAGGCAGAGAGAGGTCCACCCTGGGAGCATCGGGGGAACAGTGCCTGCAGGCCTTGCTGCGCCTCTGCTGGGCACATGGTGAGGCCGCACCCAGCTCAGAGGACTGGCCTGTGTCAAGGCTCTTTGGATGTTATTCCTTCTAATCTCCTCGGGGTTGGATGGCCTCACATTACTGACAGGGGCATCAAGCCCAGGGTATTCAGTGACCTGCCCAAGACCACCCAGCGGGGTTGGGAAGGGGCAGGATTTAAATCCACCCCATTTTGAGGGTAGACTCCAGAGAGTTGTGGTCCCAAAGCAGCCCCCACCCCTCGCCAACTGCTGAGAGATTGGGGGTGGGCAACCAGGACAGCCCAAGGTCCAAGAGAGCCCTCCCGCAGAGGCAGAAGCACTTAGCCCAGCCCCCTTCCGTCTGGCTGTTCCTCGGCCTCCTTTGTTATCTGGCGATGGCCACCCCACACTCAGACCAAAGAATGGCCTGGGAGGCGAGGCACCCCGTCACCAGGAACCCTGGGTGTGGAGGAGGTGGGGGGCATTCTGACCTTTGAAGCCAGGGCAGGGATCCTTTGAGCTGGCAACCCTCCCTCCTCTTGTTCAGATGGAGCAGGGCAGGTTATTTGGGCCTGTAAGGCGGAGTGCACTAGGAGGTGGGGAGGAAGCAGAAAGCCCGAGGTACAGGGGTCTCGAGGATTTATCCTGCTGGCCTCAGTGGTCCCATAATGACGGGGGCTTAAGCCTTTGTGGAGGGGCCGGCAACACCGGCCTGTTGATGAATTAGAGGAAGCTGTGTTTCTTCCTCTAACCGAAGCTCTGTTAATAATTAATCATCTGCCCAATTAATAATTACAGGTTTGAGCAGCCCCCATCCCACTCCAACCTCCTCCTTGTTCCTCCTGCCTTCGCCCTCCTGGCCCCCACTCCTACCCCCACCCCTCCGGCCATCAATCGCTGCCGGCCTTCCTCTGCAGAGATGGCAAGGCCCCTGTGCCCTTGGGAGTCCATCTGTCCCTGACACACACACACACACACACACACACACACACACATACACACACACACACACACACACACACACGGCATCGCGTGTCATCGGTTCTATTCTTTCCACAGGAGCCTCTCAGCAGCCCTCCCAGGCAGTTGCCACCCCGTCTGACAGAGACACGAGGCATAGGGGCAGACATTCATTCACTCATTCTTCCACTGGCTGCTATTGCGCCGTTCTCTGTGCGTCAGCCACCACCACGAGCAAGACAAGCAAACAGGAAATACCTCTCCAGGCTTAGGGGACAGCGTGGGGGAACTCCTGAGCAGGCTGGGCTGAGGGCAGCCCCCCAGGGAAGGCAAGGGCTAGGGAGAGGGAGGAGTCCCTGGAGGGTGAGGCATTGGAGGCGGGGCATTGTGTGCAAAGTTCCCCAGCGGCAGGAATGCTCGAAGCTCTGGGCTCAGCCTCTGTCCAGGGTATGGTGTGATTTATGTCTTCACCCTCAAGAGGGACATTCTCCACACGGGGGAATGAATGCCTTGCTAAGGGCTTGGAGCCAGCAGTACAATAGCTGTCTGGCCATCTCCTCTGGGCAGAATCCAGCCTCTGCCCCCACTCCCAGGGAGACACTAACTCCTCCCAAAAGGCTGTGGACTGCTAGGGCCCCTTGCAGGGGAGGCCGAGGGGGTTCAGGCTCCCTGGCCCCCGCCCTGTCCCTATCTGGTACTTTGTCAGAGACTCGGGGCCTGCCGTGCAGAGAGTTTATTTCTGAGCTCTTCCGTATGTATTGTGTTCCTTGGTTTCCTGTCTTCATCCCACTGAGAATGTTCGGCAGCCCCTCTGGGAGTCTGGGCGAAGTTCTTGGGGACCCTCCCATCCCAAGAGGGAGCAAGGCGAGGCTCACAAGAGATGGACATGCATTTTGCTGAGCGCTTGGCCCTGACAGGCTCTCCACCTGTAAACCACAGTGCTCCTACCTCCTCGAGCACCTGGCATCTAGGAGTGGCTCTGGGAAGGTGGGGCTGCCTCTCACTGCTGCCTGGTTACGTGTTTTACAAAGGAGGAGACTGAGGCTGGAGAGGTGAGGCGACCTAACTGTGAAGAGGTGGAGCCAGGAAACCAGCCCAGATGGAGGGCGGGGCCGGCACCTGTCGGGACAAGGTCGGCTCCCCCTCGGTCACCTAACTGACACCTGGGCTCAGCCTCTAGGGAGGAAACTGCTGCTTTACAGCCATGAAAGCCAGGCAGAGTTGGGAGCAGGTGGCTGCAGAGGGGACTAGACACTGTGCCTCGAGGCAGGTACAGGCCAGGTGAGGGCAGGGAGGTGGCAATGGCTGGGAGGGGCCCAGGCAGGGGTCTGGCAGCTGCAGTGCAAGCTGGTGTCTTGGTGGTGTGGGCCACAGGGTAGGGTCAGATGCATGTCACTCACAGGGAGTGCCAGGGCTTGTCACTTTGACTCTCTGAATGTTGATTTTCTCCTCTGAAATACAGTGGGAGGCAGATGTCTACCTGAGGTTAGAAAACAGCTAAGGCAAGGGCCGGGCGCGGTGGCTCAAGCCTGTAATCCCAGCACTTTGGGAGGCCGAGGCGGGTGGATCACGAGGTCAAGAGATCGAGACCATCCTGGTCAACATGGTGAAACCCCGTCTCTACTAAAAATACAAAAAAAAATTAGCTGGGCATGGTGGTGCGTGCCTGTAATCCCAGCTACTCAGGCTGAGGCAGGAGAATTGCCTGGGCCCAGGAGGCGGAGGTTGCGGTGAGCCGAGATCACGCCATTGCACTCCAGCCTGGGTAACGAGCGAAACTCCACCTCAAAAAAAAAAAAAAAAAGAAAACAGCTAAGGCACCGAGCACAGCCCGTCAGAGGGCAGCTCTGGGGGAGGCCTCAGATGTGCTGTCCTCTCATTTCCCCCCTCTTAATCCTGTGTGTGCTGCTATCATAGAATACCTGAGACCAGATAGTTTGTAAACAGCAAAACTATCTCACAGATCTGGAGCCTGGGAAATCCAGGGTCCAGGAGCTGGCGTCTGGCGAGTGCCCTCATGCTTTGTCATCCCATGGCAGAAGGGCAGAAGCATCCACCCACGGAGAGGGGCAGGGCTGAGCCCATGATGTTATCAGGAACACGATAACTAGCCCACTCCTACAGTAACAGCACAAATACCCCCATGAGGGGGGAGCCCTCATGGCCTCATCACCTCTTAAAGTCCACAAGTCCACACCTCTCAACACATCTACACTGGGGATTAAATCTCCTACACATGAACATTGGGGGACACATTTTTCAGAATACCCTATACGATTACAGGCTGGCAAGGGGAAGCTGTGGGCACAGGGGCTTGGGCATCCCTGGGTCTGTGGCCAGGCCAGGTTAGCTGGAGGCCAGGGTCAGGCAGACAGCAGCAAACAAACTCCCCAAGGAGGCAGTGCAGGTGACATGGGACCCCTCCCTTGCTTGTCTGCAAGTTCCGGGTGATCGCGGCTAGAGGAAAATAATGTGGGTGATTCGCGGCTAGAGGAAAATAATGTGGGTGAGGGGATGGGAGTTCAGGGGAGGAGGACGGGCGGACAGCCTGGATGGAGATGGGCCAGCATGGTGTGGGCAGGGGGCAGATGGATGTGGAGTGCCAGCTCCAGGGTAGATCAGGGGAGGAGTGTGCGGTGTCAGGCAGGAGCCAGGGCCTCTGGAGCCTCTTGGAGCCTGGGCCTCACCTTGGAGGTTTCCTGACGTTTTGGACCTTGTGCCTTCTTCAAGCTGGAGACCCCGACACGGCACACTGTCCAAGGTGACCTGTTCCTGTTGGAATTGGCAGCCGTGGGAAGGGCTGCCCTGGGTCCCCTTGGCCTTTCTGGAAACTTTGGGCTCTGGGAAACATTATTGCAGCCTGGCCTTGCAGTGTGCCACCAGGATGCTCACATGGTTTCAAGCTGCTGAGAGGGGCTCAGGTGGTTGGCAGGATGGGCAGCTGCAGCTTTCCTGGGCAGCTGATCTAGTCACCTACAAGAGCTGGAGAGCCCTGTGACCTGAAAATGCCAGGCCCATGGGCTCCTGATAACGATGGGGGTGAGAGGGGCCCTTGCCTTGGGCAAGGCTGAAGGCAGCAGCCTGGACTTTGCCCCTGAAGCTTTGAGAAGCCCTGAGGCTGCAGGTGGGTGTGGACCCTGCTGCCGTCACCTGCTGCTATGAGTCTGAGGCCCTGTGTGCCTGTGGGGGTGGAATGAAGTGAGGCCAGTTGCGCTCCAGCCTTCACATCCCCTCAACCCCCTCACAGCCCGGGGCACCTTCCCTGCACCTGGCCCAGCCCCCACGGGTTCCCACCACCTCCCTCAAAGGGCCTCTCTTCATGAGGGCGGACCCCTCCCTGAGAGATAAAGAGCCCTGTGCCTGAAACGCCTCCAACAGTACTCATTCGTCTGGCTAATCCCAAACATTCACCGAATGTTTGCTCTGGACGCTTGGGGCAGGAGCCACTGCCCACTTCTGGCCTGGCCTGTTCTTCTGGGGCAATTTACACCTCTCCATTCCAGGCTCTGTGTGTAGGAGGCAGCCAGAGCCCTCAGGCTCTTATGAAATGTGCACAGGCACCACTAGTCCCAGGGGGGACAGCCGCCCTCGGCCCCCTTCCCCCTGATGTCCATATGCTCCCTTCCCTGCCTGGGCTAGGGGCTGAAGATCCCAGGTGGAAAAGCCCAGCCCAGCGCCCCTGCATCTCTGGAGTCAGAGAGACCTGGGTTCTGCTTGTGGTACGGCCTCCACCAAGTCACCCCCTCGTCAGGGCCTCCGCCTCCCTGCTCGTGGAGTGAGGGATGGCTTCACAGCAGGCCTTGTCAGACTTTTTTTTACTATAGAAGTTTTCCTTCAAACAAAATCTTGCAAGGAACTCAGTGTCTGAAATTGAAAAGCTGGGATCATCTTGTGTTTTGGGGGGCGGGTCCCTGGGCTTTGTTTTCTTTCTCTTTCCACTCCACCTCTCTCTTGGGTCCTGGGAGACCTGGAGGGGAGTTCCAGGGACCTATCTGGGAAATAGCTGTCCTCAGTGCCCACAGGACCAGGTCCATGGGTTATAACTGTACATCTGTATATCAGGCCCTGAGGCCTGCCTTTAGCCCGCCTCCCCTCCCGAGGTCTCCTTCTGCCAATCACCTGCCTAATGCCCCTGCACCCAGGTGTCAGGCTGCCCCCCAAAGCTGCATCCCTCCCTCCTATGGTTACCCAGTGCTCTATGAGCCCCTCTCAGCTGGGACCTCGGCATCAGCTCACCACTGCCCCGTCCCTGGCCCTTTCTTCGTGGCCCATCTCCCAGGCTGGGCGCCTGGGATGCTCCCTTGTTCCAGCTCCATGGCTCTCCCCATGAGTGTCCAGGGTGCTGGTGCGGTGGACCTGGTTGGCTTCCTGCCTCCTGCCCTCCCCATTCAGTCTAAATTGCACCACCTAATGCAATAGCCACTAGAGCATGTGGCTATTCAAATTCAAATTAAATTAAATTAAGCCGAGTATGGTGGTGCTAGACTAGTCCCAGCTACTCGAGAGGCTGAGGTGGGAGGATTGCTTGAGTCCAGAAGTTCATTTCCAGCCTGGGTAACATAGTGAGGTCTCGTCTCTAAAAAACGAAAGCATAGGCCGGGCGCAGTGGCTCATGCCTGTAATCCCAGCACTTTGGGAGGCCGAGGCGGGTGGATCACGAGGTCAAGAGATCGAGACCATCCTGGTCAACATGGTGAAACCCCGTCTCTACTAAAAATACAAAAAATCAGCTGGGCATGGTGGCGCATGCCTGTAATCCCAGCTACTCAGGAGGCTGAGGCAGGAGAATTGCCTGAACCCAGGAGGCGGAGGCTGCGGTGAGCCGAGATCGCGTCATTGCACTCCAGCCTGGGCAACAAGAGTGAAACTCCGTCTCAAAAAAAAAAAACGAAAGCATTACGGAACAGGCCTCTGGGGATGAGAAGCTGATGTCCTGGGTGGACCAGTGACCAGTGTGGGAGGGGCGGAGTCCCAGCAGGGGTAGATCCAGCTTTGGGAACCAACTTTCCCAGACGCTTGCCGACCACTCTGTGGGAAAGTTCTCAGGCAGCCTGCAGGGGCCTGGGATCAGCTGAAGGGGATGGGTTTGGAGGGGGGAGAGTGATGCCTGCACAGGGGCTGGAGGTGGGGGAGGGGGATTTGCCATGGAAAGGGCTCCTGGGGGTGAGTGTTGGGCTGAGCCTTTGTCAAGGCCTCCACCCTGGAGCTGAGCCAGCAGAGTGTGGGGCTGACTCTGTGGAGCTGAGACTCTCGTGGGTATTCTGGTGGACTGGGCACCCTGTCTTCCCTGAACCCTGCCTGCCTAAGCCAAGAACTGCTCCCCTTGTAGTTCTGTCTCTCCTCCCTCGACCTAGTTTCTTCATCCATGGGTGGGCACAGCAGACACTGTCCCACCTGTCACATGGTGAATGGGATTTGCAAGGATTTGACTCTGGTCATCCAGGGAAGATGGAGTCTTTGGCCAGGCCTGGCCCCGAAGCACACTCCTTCCCTCTGAGCCTGCCAGGGAAGCAGAATTCCCAGGGGCTGGGTGTCATGGTCCACTAGGCCCTCCCTCATCCAGGCCACTTGTCTTTGGCCTGAAGAAGAATCCCCAGATCTGCAGTCCACCTGCCAGCAGCTGCAGGACGTGTGGGGAGTCTCAGTTTCCGTCGGTTTCATTCCTATCTGCTGTGTGTGGCTGAGTGAGTGGCTTAACCTCTTGAGGCCTCCATGTCCTCATCTGCAAAATGGAGACACGCATAGCTGCGTCCCCGATGTCCACCAGTAGCTGGGATGAGACGTCAACTGCAGAGTGACCACTTTGTGTAGGTTTGTGTTGTGGATGGGTGTCAGTCACAGGAACAAGTCAGATGATGAGCAGGGAGGACAGCACAGCAGTAGTTCTTTCTCCAGTCTCGCCGGGACTCCAGGATCAGTCATGTTCTGCAGCCACCTCTTCTGCCCGTCTCCCCTTGTGGGATCCTGAAACCTCATGCTGCATTTAGTCTCAGAGTCCAGGGGATATGCTTACTGTCTTCTGACCCCTGAGATGCTGACTCGCTCTGCTTTACCCCAGGGAAGGAACCAGTAGCAGAAGTTCCAGGGAAACTGATGAAGGTCAACAGAAGAAAGAATTTCTAGCAGCCCAAAGGGACTGAAATGGGAAGCCTTTGGAAGTGGACATGCAGAGGCCAGCTGTGCACTTGCAGGGGCACTGGCCTGAGTGAAGGCTTGGACCAAATTCTTAGTCACGGGCCTCTGGACCAAGGAGAGGAGTCTGCAAGCCTCGGCTGGGCTCCAGATTCTCCAGAGTCTGGCCTTAGGTCCTGAAAGCCTGGTGAGTTACTGAGAAAGGCCCCACAGACTGGCGGTGCTAGTCAGGGTTAAGCAGCCCCCCAGCTGACCCAGCTCCCTTTGTACCTTAATAAAGGGGTCTTTGTTACCTTTCTTAAAGGTAATAAAGCCAGTCAGGAGCAAGGCCTGGTACGTTCAGGGGATCATCTGCATTTGGTTATCCAGCAGGAAACCCAAATGGAAGGAAAGAAAGAAAAACACGCATTTATAGAACCTCTGCTAATGGCCAGGCCCCCTGCAGAATGCTTTGACACCATGGCTCAGCCAGGTCTCCCACAGGACTGCATAACAGAGGGTGACATCTTCCTTTTACATCGGAGAAGACTTAGGACCAGACAGGCTAAGTAACTTGCCAAAGGGCACACAGCAAGTAAGTCATGGCACTGGGATTCAAACCAAATCCTCCAGACTTGCAGTAACAGTAGAGCCGGCCGGGCGCGGTGGCTCAAGCCTGTAATCCCAGCACTGTGGGAGGCCGAGGCAGGTGGATCACGAGGTCAAGAGATCGAGACCATCCTGGTCAACAGGGTGAAACCCCGTCTCTACTAAAAATACAAAAAATTAGCTGGGCATGGTGGCGCGTGCCTGTAATCCCAGCGACTCAGGAGGCTGAGGCAGGAGAATTGCCTGAACCC